ATTTCGGGGAGACAGGCACTTGTGCAAGATGTAAGTTTTCTTAGTTTTAATTTGGTCCTTCCACTAAATAACACCCTGCAGCTTATCCATCGAGTTGAGAAAGATGAGACGGTGTTCGAGTTTGACAAGACAACGGATGTGTTTTGTATTGGTTCTTTGCTCAAGGTTGGTCCCAACACTCTAGCCTACCCTGCAAAACAAATCGCTGACTCGATGCACACAGCGATACTTGCGAGAACTCCCAGAGCCGCTGTTTAAGTTCCCTCTTCCGGAGAGACTCCAACATTCCGCAGGCCGTCGTACGCTCCATTCCAACTCATCGAACCCTTGCCCGTACTGATTAATGGCTCAGAGGACCATATTAATAATGGGTTCATGTTCCTCCGCGGCAAGCTACGACGACTCCCAGGCGTACACCAAGCGACACTTCGGGTCCTCGTTGAACACCTAGCCCGAGTCGCAGCTAAATCTCAAAAGAACAAGTATGCGCCTTTGCTTATCTTCGTTTATTACGTATCTGACGCTTGGGTGTGATTCGTAGGATGGACGCGCGGAACCTTGCTATTGTGTTTGGAGGAGTTGTTTTTGGGGAGGACGAGATACCGCGAGGGGGTGCGGAGCTGTTGAACATTGGGAATGCGAGGGATACTGTTATGGAAGATATGATCAATTATGGTATGTTGAATTTCCAACTCCTAGAAACTTCACCAACTAAATAACTGGCTTGCGAATAGCTCCGCTATTATTCGGCGAACGCGAAGCAGAAGACCACTCTCCCGCCTCGAGCACGTTCTTCCACTCGACTCTGCAAACTCAAAACAGTGGACTTGTCAAGTCTGATTCTATCACGCATTTCCAGTCTGGACTTGGGTTGCAGACGCAGAACAGCGGGACGACTGTCAAACCTGATTCAGCGCTAAACAAGGAGAAGGATGAGCCTATGGAGGATTTGCCGGACTATGGGTCCTTGGCTGCAGGAATGACCATGCCACTGGAGAAAGGCGAGAAAGGCGAGAAAGGCGAGAAGGGAAGCTCGGTGTCGGCACATTCGGCTAAACCTTCGTTACATACCCCCTCACCGCCGCCTGAAGACGACAAAGAAAAGGAGAGGGAGAAGGAGGGAATCACCACGAACAAAGACGCACCTCTCCCGCCTGAGCCCGCCGGCGAAACGCCAGTCAAAGTTGACTACGGCTCCTCACATACACTCATCCGCCACCCCGGAGTAGATCCGGACTTTTCTCCCCGTCTTCCTGATATTGATTTCGCACCGCGGTTACCGGCGAGGCCTGGAAAGTCAATCCACCCTTCCTCACGAGCCGCTGCGCTTAATCCTGAGCGTGGCGATCAGCCCGAGGTGGCCTCGCCTACCACTGGAGGACCAGGACAGCCGCCGCCGCTTCCGTCACGCATGCCAAGTGTGAGCTCACCACCAGGGACGGGTGAGCCACCCAGTTTGCCACCGCGGAAGCCAGGTGGAGGAGCACCCTCGTTGGATGTGAGGTTGCCATCACCGCTGCCGGAGGTTACGTTACCTAGGATGGACAGCGATGATTCGACCCCGGGCGCATCTGTACAGCGGACTGCGAGCATGTCTCTGCAACGGACTCCGGGTGTGACTGTGCAACGGACCCCCAGTTTGTCTATGCAACGGACGCCAAGTTTATCCACTGCGCCGACTCCGGGCGCGTCTGGCCAACACCCCCCGAGTACGCCTGTGCGAGCTATGGCAGGAGGTGGGATGTCATCTGCGAGGAACAGTCCGAGCAGAACAACCTTTTCAGCAGATGCGGAGTCTCCTGCTACTGCCGAATTTACGACCCCGAGCTCGTCTCCACTTGCGACGCGTGTGACACCGTCGAGGACTGTAACGAGCGATGATGTGACGAAGTAAATGTCCCCCCACAAGTCGGGGGATACGAAACGCTTGTAATTTTTCTTTTCCATGAAATCCAGTTATGCAGCTTTACTTTGTTTTGACTTGAATGGACCTTGTGGGGATATGAGGGGGGAGAAATAGGTGTAGATGATACAATGTTCTTGATGTTTTCATATATACAGTACAAATTTGCTTGTAACGCCGCAACCCACGCGTATAGCGCCAGTGCATTCAACTTCTACCTCTTAGAGCGTCTCGATGTGGTTCATCTTGACTGAATCATCCAACGTGAGTTTACCATCCTTCAAGTCCTTCTGCACGCCTTCCTCGAACGAGATCACAGCTTGGAGAGCTGCGTCCCGACCGCAGAGGGACATGCTGGAGACTTCCCAGATGTTCTTCATGATGGGTGTGGCTTTGCGCACGCGCTCCATGAAGGGGAGGGTTTCACGAAGGGTTGCGCCACTTTCCATCAGGCATTCAAGTGCGCTCTTGAGATAGTCTGAAGATGAGTTAGTATAGCGGCCCACAAATCCAAAGTGCGTACTTACATGCATGATTCTATGATAAAACTGAAAGTTAGCGCCTAATTAGAAGTGCAGCTAAATAACTCTTGCCTCATCGTCCTTCGGGAACCGCTCAGCTCCAGACAGGTATTTCTCATACGCAAGTCTGAAATTCGCCTTTTGGTTCGTAGGATCGACAGGCACAGCGGTGAGCGCAAGCTGCATGTGATAAAAGCCCTTGATGATGAGAGCCTCAGCAGTTGGGTACAGCCAGAACGCAGCAATGTATCCTGGAGTATATTTTTGCTCTGATTCGGGAGGATTCTGCTCAACGTCCTCGAGGATCGCTGCGGCGGTGTTGTTTAACTCAGCGAGAGAAAAGGGAGAGTTTGGTCCCGGGTTATTGATCACGGCCTAGGAAGACTGTTAGTAAAAATACAGCGAGCGGCTGACTGAAGCGTACTTGGTACAGTGTATGCAAGTACAGCCGTTTCACGCTCCGTCGGAAGGTGGGTTCAAATATTACACCACGTTCAGCGGCTGAAACAGTTGGCCATTGATGCTCGCCCCAAGTCAAGAACCGCTGGACCTTCTGCAGCAATTGGACAGCAGTCCCATAATCCGGAATCGAGCGCAGTAAAAACGCATGCATAATCCATGCGCGGACGGTCAGATCGAGAGCCGGGCGGACGTTATCCCAGCCACGTATAGCAACGCGTTCTCGAATCTCACGCATAATAGTAGCCTCGTCAGCTTGGTTGATCCATGCACCGTATTCCATAGCCTCGTATTGGGCTTCATGTAGTAGGTTAGACACCGGATGTTCGGATGGTGTGTGAGCATACCTTGGTAGCCATATCTGTCTTTCCAGTCGGGTGTAGTCATATGAAAGGCGCGTTCGTCGCGCAAAAGACCGTCTGAGATATCCGCCACAGCCTAGGAGCGGGTTTGTAAGCTATATGCGCGCTGAAACGAAGTGTCTATGAGACTTACTCCAAGGCGGCCATAAATCTCAGTGCCCGCTGAGGTTTCCGTCCTTTGGAGTTCCCATAGGGTTTCGCATCCCTTCTTGAAGACCTGGTGGCGAATGTTAGCTGTGCGCGACTAATGCTTAATTATCTACCTCATGCGCTTCCAATATTATCCATGCCTGGAGATGCTGTTAGTTTATAAACCACACAACCACGAGTTGAAGCTTACGCTGGTGCATGTGCCATCCGATGACGCATCCATACTCGGTCGCAATGCTGGGGCACAGTTAGCTTAGTTCATTATTACATTATGAAACAAACCTTCGGCTTTGTCCCAAGGCAGGTTTCCAGTTGCGTTGCGAATTAATAGAACATCGGGACCTGCTTCCTTGCGTTGTGCCTCCGCGAGAGCTTGCTCAATCTTCACCTTGCGCGCAATGTCGGCAGAGCTGGGATTCTCGATTGCATCTAAGAGTGCGATAGCCTTCCCATAGGACTCGTAAGCATCTGCGAAACGATGGAGTCCCTAGGAAACTATAAGCAACGGAAAATCAGAAGCTACGCATATAGCTACCAGTTGGGCAGTGGCCAGGCGCTCATATCCACGAGAATATGATGGATCAGCCTCCACACTCTTCTTCGAGTCAGCAATCGCATCCTCGAACCTATATACCATCAATCATCCATTCTTCATCTGAGATCACCACGCACCTGCGCAACTTCATGTCCGCCGCAGCGCGATTACAAAGCAAGACGGCCTTTTCATGAGGTTCCAAGTCGGAATGGGCGAGGGCTCGTGTATACACCCGCTGTGCACCTTTGCTATCGCCGTTTTTGAAAAGCTCACTGGCTTCAGCTTTAAGGGTGGCGAGGGGCGTTGTGTCGTGTACAGGCACACCAAACGTTTCGGCCGTGTCGACTTTAAGCTTGCATACCGCAACTTCGCCTTGGTGCTTGACTTTCGATTTGAGTTTCGAGATTAGGGAAATAGATGGCATGACACGCCGCGTCGTAAAGTAATTATATGAGTGTTAAGACGGGGATGGCAGGTGTCAGTCGGAAAGGGGGGGTTGTTTTTGGATGGGTAAAAATACGCCTGGGAAACCGCGGTAAAATAAGAACGAGATGCGACACTTTTATGGATCATGAAAGCTCCTTGTTGTAGTCGATGGCAAGTGAGTTTCTGACGCTGAAACAATCAGAATCACCATTCACTCAATTGGATCCGGTCCGCCCGGCGTCATAGGAAGCACCCGGAGAGATTTTCAACTCATCCCGCTCTACCACCGCGGTCAAGTCTGATAGCCCGCCACGCAGACCGACCGAAAGGGGTAACTTTCCCCGTTGACGAAGGCGATATGCTATGTTAAACGAGGGTGGTTTACCGGGAGACAGAAATGAGGCGATGTTTGGGTGGCATATGGGTAGTTCGCTGGACGATTCATTTACCAAACAACGTATATTTAGCCTTCTCGCTATAGTTATCTTATTTAGACAATTGGACTTGACTGCTAGAAGCGAAGAGCCAAATGCGCAGTCGAGAAACCTGGGAGTGAGTGGAAAGTGAAGGAGAGGTGTGACTGAAGTATACCGGCCAAAAGTGTTTAATGTGGTCAGATCGCCCAATGACCCAATTTCAAACAAGACCGCTTAGCTCAGTGGTAGAGCGTGTGATTCCAGCTCGGTGGTACATCCACAAGGTCGTCCGTTCAATCCGGGCAGTGGTCATTTCTTTTGCTGCGTATCCAATCTTGATACCACTTCGGAGAAAGAAGCTTTTAGTTTGTACTTGAAGCCCATCAACACTGTACATCTTAATAGCATCACGCCTATGTCGCATTGCTCCCTGTCCCACCCGTTACCATACCTCCATCGTCAATGGTTGCGTTCACGTGCACGCATGACCCGGCGCTTGTAGCCACAACCAGAAATGTGCAAGGCAGCGTCAGGTGAATTTACAATTCTCCAACCTGACACACATTTGACCCTGGCTGCACAAGTAAACTAGAGGCTCTTTTTCGCCTGCCCAAAACCTTCTCGCTCTGCCCATATCACTACGATGCCTGCCCGGCCCAAGCCAGATGAACTCTGGGGACCTCCTCTCAGCAAATATGTAGATGAGTTCGAACAACGAACGCCAGGGTCACCAGACTTCGCTATGAATATACCGGAAATATACCCGGCAGACAGAACTGGATTTACTCCCCTCTCCGCAATTGCTCGCTCGTTTGTAACCTTGGAGGGCAATCACATACTTGGCAAAAAGCCAACTGAACAAGCTCTGGTAATACCTCTTGCGGCTTTACGAAAGTATCATGAAACAAACAAAAAGGTATGTTTGTTACTACTATTGGACGATGTTGACTGATTGAGCCGATAGATATTTGCACACCTTTATGGATTTCTGTGCTTTAAAGTTATCATCCGCGTTATCGAAGACGCGCTGCTCATGACAGCTGGGAATGGGTCTCTTAACTTTACACTGATGAATCATAGCCCCGAGGACGATCCGTCACATATTTTCAACGCTTTAACTGTGAAGGCTATGACGGAAATTAACGCTGCGTTGCAGGGGCATATTTGGGTTGGGAAAGTGCTTGGCATGTCTATGGAGACTGGCCAGAAAGCCCTTCCTTTCGCTGGAGGAATTTCTGAGCAGGATCTAAAGTTCCTGACGGAGGTACTATCGCAGGACCGCAAGTCTTACCTTAATCTTTGCAACCGAGGTCTTCTCAACGGGAGCACGTCCTTGTTCTTCGTGACAACTGCCCTTGGGCGACTAGTTCCGCGTAATCGGTAAGCACTGTTATATTAGGGTGGTTTCATACTAACGAAAAACAGGCTTCAGGACTGGTTTACTCAACTTAACGATGTGTTGTTACGATACTACCTCTCTACACCAGACTTCGAAACCATCACTCTTCGTAATCTCTGCCTCTCCGTCGAATCAGAACTTACGAGCAAAGTTGTAGATCGGTCCGCCGTGGATCTGGAAGATGCACGCGCCATCGTTCAGTCTTACATCCGAATTTTCTCGCCCCCTCTCACTGTAGAGATACATGCCCCGCACCTATTAGATATATCGACGCTCCTATTCGAAATTGCATATGACAACCTGGCACCAAAGTATATGCAGGACTTGATCCCTGACATGATGAAGGCTGCACTCGCGAGGTTATGGTTGGAGTACGATGCCGAACAAAACGGCGTAATGCCCCCACAAAGGCGAGGCTTTTCGCGTCGTTACATGGGCGAAATGTGTCATTATATCAGGTATGAAGCTAGCCGGAGTATAAATGCGGTACTTATGGTGTTTCAGACTCATGAAAGAGAAGATGATTGGCGACGAAGGGTTATCAACATATGCGCGCATGCTGTTGGACATCGACATAGTGGGTCTCTTGGGACGCACCCTTTTGCTTATAACCAGAGATAGTAAGCATCTCATACCGTAAAACACCCTTTACTGAAGTGGAAGCACAGGCCAACCCCCTGACAGGTGGGAAGAGTTACTGGACGGTCTGGGCGACTTGAACAACGGCTTGCGAAACCCTGTGTCCTTTGCGCAGATGGCATTTAGCGACTCTCATGGGGACTGGATCAAGGTTTTCCGTCATTTCAGACTGCTGCTCGGAGGAGCTGGGCCACGCTATTTATCCCACGATTTAACTCACAAGGCAACCCAAGCATGGTTGGAGATAGGATTATCAATGCGCTTTGCAAGGTCGGCGAGTACGGCACCAGGCCCATCATGTTCGAATCCTTACTGCATTGAGCCGCTTGCCAACGACAGCTCCATAGGGGCCCACCTTACATGTAAACAGTGCAAAGTTGCTCGTTACTGTGACCGCACTTGCCAAAACGCGTAAGTTTGTTCAGGACTACCCGTAAGCTTGTGAACTGATACGGTTGACACAGTCACTGGGAGCTAAAGTCTGCGTTATCACATGTGAATGAATGCGTGCTTCGGCAGAATGTTTAGCTTATATTATATACACAAATCAAAGGATTAATTTTCGTCTGACCGTCACGTGTCATGAACCCTGAGGAGGTGGTCCGTGCTGAAAATTTGGTTGAAATCCATCCATCAGGCCTCCAACGCGCCTCTTTACCTCCGTCACGAGTCCAGGCGTGTCCCTGCGACGACCTCACCTTTACTACCTGTCCACTGAACTGTTTCCGTGCCACTATATACCATGGATGTACGTGAATGGTCTGTAGATGGGTTAGGGCGACCTCGCTGATCCTCATCACAGCCGACATATATTAAAAACCTTCATGATCTCTTAAATCAAACTGTCGCCCCAGACACCAACGTCATCAAAGCTGTAAGTCTACACGTTTTAAGTACTTTAACATGTTCTCATTTGTCCCTCAGGCAACGTCTGCTTTGGCCAAGAACTACTGGACAAGCTCTGATTGCATCCCAGCGCTATTTGAAATTATCACCTCGTCGCCCGACCAGAATGTACGCGTTCGTTGGCGTTGAAATGCCTTTATACTTACTGTCGATGTCCAGATTCGCCAACTTGCTGCTGTAGAGCTGCGGAAACGCGTCAACCAGCACCAAGGTCAACTTTGGGTTAATGTGCCCCAAAACCTCCGGAACGCCATCAAAGAAAGGATCACTCAGGTTATCCTCGCGGAGCCCGCATCGATCGTTCGCCACAGCATTGCTCGTGTTATCTCTGCGATTGCGCAGTATGAGCTTCAAGGGGGAACCAAAGGAATTACCTGGGGTGCTCTTATTCCCTGGGTCGAACAGTCATGCGTTGCAGAGCAAGCGGCGCACCGCGAAGTTGGGGTATATGTGCTCTTCACCATCCTGGACAGCCTTATGGACGAAGTTTCTGAACGCCTCACTACGTTCTTCGCTCTTTTCGATCGCCTCATTCGCGATCCAGATAGTGCGGAGGTTCGCGTTACTGCCGTTCGATGCCTGGGACAAGTGGCACAGTATATCGACTCCGACCAGAAGGAAGAGATTGTGAGTTTTCAGCCACCCTGTGCCCTATTAGCGCGCGTGCTAAACTTGTATTGTGTAGAAACAATTCCAAGCACTTATCCCCGGAATGATCAACGTTCTTGCTGATTGCCTCGAAAAGGGCAATGAGGATGGTGCTCGCCATTTGTTTGATGTGTTCGAGACTCTGCTTATCTTGGTGAGTGCTGTGCGTTATAATGCGTACTTCCCAAACCAATCATGGTCTTCTAGGAAACCCCGTTGCTTTCCAAGCACATGCCCCAGATGGTCGAGTTCTTCCTGCGCTGCGGAGGCAACAAAAACTACGATACATCCCTGCGTATTATGTCCTTGAACTCCTTGACCTGGACTGTCAAATAGCAAGTGGCCCTTTCCCCTTGCATACATCGGTGCTAACATCTACTTCAGTAAGAAGAGCAGAATCCAGAGTCTCAACCTTGCCAAGCCTATACTTGAGGGTTTGATGCCCATTGGAACCGAGGAGGATACTGAAGATGCCGACGACGAGTGTGCCTCGAGGGTGAGTGAACCCGTTTTTTGGGTAGGATTGCACACTGACATTGTTTTCAGACTGCTTTCCGTGTTATTGACGAGCTGGCCACATCTCTCCCTCCTTCTCAAGTCTTCCCTACCCTCCACACCATCGTCACCCAGTACATGGCGTCATCCGAACCTGGTCAGCGCAAGGCAGCCCTCACTGCATTTGCTGTCACTCTTGAAGGCTGCTCTGAATTTATCCGGCCGCATATGCGCCAGCTTTGGCCGCTCGTCGACGCCGGTTTCGCCGACCCTCACCCCATCGTACGCAAGGCTGCCTTGTCTGCTCTCGGCTGCACCTGCGAGTGGCTCGAGGAGGAAGTTGTGGACCGCCATGCTACCATCCTCCCCGTTCTTCTCGATATGATCAACAACCCTGACACCCAAGGAGCTGCCTGCACTGCTCTTGACGACTTCCTCGAGATTCTCGGTGACACGATCTCTCAGTACCTTCCACAACTGATGGAGCGCCTCTCTGGTTTGCTCGATACTGCACCCAACAATGTGAAGGGGATTGTCACCGGTGCTATTGGGTCCGCCGCCCATGCTGCCAAGCTTGGCTTCTTGCCTTACTTCCAACCCACAATGCTTCGCCTGCAGCCGTTCCTCGTGCTCGCTGGTGAGGGCAGCGAGCAAGAGCTCCGCGGAATTGCCATGGACACTGTGGGCACCCTCGCTGACGCCGTTGGCCGGGAGAACTTTCGTCCCTACTTTGAGCCCGTTATGAACAACGCGTTCGAGGGGATGTCGCTCGACTCTGCCCGACTCCGCGAATGCAGCTTCCTCATCTTTGGTGTCATGTCACGTGTGTTCGAGGAAGAGTTCGCGCCATACCTCGATCGGGTCGTCCCCGCGCTGATTGCGAGCTGCAAGCAGGAGGAGGGAGGCGAGGATACTGCTTTTGGTAAGTCGGCTCACCATTTGTTTTATTATTCCTTATTGAGTGACTGGTACTGCAGCCAAGGAGCTCAAGGAGCTAAAAGGCGCCACTGGCAATTCTTCCACAGATGCCATCCCCGTCGCCGCTGATTCTGAGTCGATCGATATCGAAGACGTCGATGAGGACAAGGAGCTTGCTGTGAACAGCGCCATTGCGGTCGAGAAGGAGATTGCCGCCGACACCATTGGAACGGTGTTCATGTACACTCGCAATCACTTCTTGCCGTACGTTGAGCCATGTGTGCATGAGCTCGTCGAGCTTCTCTCG